AAATGTTCTGTAGACATCTACTAGGTCCATTTGATCTATTGCATATTTTAGATCTTGGATTTCTTTATTGATTTTTTGTTTGGATGACCTATCTATTGATGATAATGGGGTGTTAAAGTCTCCCACAACCACTGTGTTGGCGTTTATATATGCTTTTAGGTCTTTCAGGGTATGTTTGATGAAATTGGGTGCGTTGACATTGGGTGCATACAGATTGATGATTATTATTTCCTTTTGGTCTATTTCCCCTTTTATTAGTATGGAATGTCCTTCTTTATCTCGTTTGATCAATGTAGGTTTGAAGTCTACTTTGTCAGAGATAAGTATTGCTACTCCTGCTGTTTTTGGGGGCCATTGGCTTGGTAAATCTTCTTCCAGCCTTTCATCCTAAGCCTATGCTTATTTCTGTCGGTGAGATGGGTCTCCTGTAAGCAACAAATTGTTGGATCTTCCTTTTTAATCCATTTCATCAAGCGGTGCCTTTTGATGGGTGAATTAAGTCCATTAACATTAAGTGTTAGTACTGATAGGTATGTGGTGATTCCTGTCATTTAGTTGTCTTAGTTGTTTGAAGGTTTGATTGTGTGTACCTAAGTTGAAGTTACGCTCTACTGTCTTGCTTTTTCTTTTCCTGTAGTTTGGTGCTGCCTGTCTTTTCATGGTTATGTTGGGTTTCACTTTCTGTGTGCAGAATTCCTTGAAGAATCTTTTGTAGTGGTGGCTTTGTGGTCACATATTGTTTTAGTTTCTGCTTATCATGGAAGACTTTTATTGCTCCATCTATTTTGAATGATAGTTTTGCTGGGTAGAGTATCCTGGGGTTGAAGTTATTTTCATTCAGTGCCCAGAAGATCTCACCCCACGCTCTTCTTGCTTTTAATGTTTCTGTTGAGAAGTCTGCTGTGATTTTGATGGGTTTACCTTTGTATGTTACTTTTTTTCTCTTACAGCCTTCAATATTCTTTCCCTAGTTTCTGAACTTGTTGTTTTAATGATGATATGTCGTGGGTTAGTTCTATTTTGATCTGGTCTGTTTGGTGTCCTGGAGGCTTCTTGCATCTTCTAGATTTGGGAAATTTTCTGTTATTATTTTGTTGAATATATTTCGCATTCCCTTCGCTTGCACCTCTTCTCCTTCTTCGATGCCCATGATTCTCAAGGTTGGTCTTTTGATGGAGTCGGTGAGTTCTTGCATTTTCTTTTCACAGGTCTTGAGTTGTTTAATTAATAGTCCTTCGGTTTTTCCTTTAATTACCATTTCCTCTTCAAGTTCTGAGATTCTGTCTTCTGTTTGCTCTATTCTGCTGGATTGGCCTTCCGTTTTGTTTTGCAGTTCTGTTTCGTTCTTTTTTCTGAGGTTTTCCATATCCTGGCTGGTTTCCTCTTTAATGTTGTCTATTTTTGTCCTGAGTTCATTTATCTGTTTATTCATCGTGTTCTCTCTTTCACTTTGGTGTTTATACAGTGCTTCTATGGTTTCCTTTATTTCTTCTTTTGTTTTTTCAAATTCTCTATTTTTGTTGTCTTGGAATTTCTTGAGTATCTCCTGTACATTTTGGTTGACCCTATCCAGTATCATCTCTATAAAATTCTCATTGAGTACCTGTAGTATGTCTTCTTTTAAATTATTCTTGTGGGCTTCATTGGGTCCTTTGGCATAGTTTATCTTCATTTTGTTGGAGTCTGCATCTGAGTTTGTTTTCTTCATTCCCCTCTGGTTCCTGTACTAATTTTTTGCTGTGGGGAAACTGGTTTCCCTGTTTTTTCTGTCTTCCCGTCATTGTCTTGGTGTTGTTACTGTCCCTGTACTGTGTGCAATTAAGTATTTTCTAGCTTGTAATAATAACAATGGTAATATTTAGAATGGAAGAGTGAGCTGAGATGGAAAGCAAGAAGTTAAAGAAAAAGGGAAAACAAATACACAGACGAGGAAGAAAGCAGAACAAGGTATCAGACTAGAAAGTTTCAAAGGTATAAACAGGGAGTGTTAGTGTACTAATCGACAGTAAGCTGAACAGACATTAGAGAGACAGAGAGAGGATTGAAAATCAAAATAAAAAAATAAATAAGAATAAAAATAAAAAATAAGTAAATGAAAGAAAATCTATTATAAAAATGATTAAAATAAAATTTAAAAATAGAAAATTAAAAAAAACCAAAAAACCTCCAAGTTCAAATGCAATGAAGTTTCTGTCTTAATAATTTTGGTGTCCGTCTCAGTCTCCAATCCTGGAGATGGTGCCTCAGATGTTGTTCTGTAGTTGTCTCATCAAAGGGGACATAAAGTAGAACAAAACTACACACACACGCACAAAAAAAACCCCCACAAGTGTCCCAAGTTCAAATGCAATACAGTTTCAGTAAGTTTTTCAGCTTGCAGGTGTAATTTGGTTGTTCTCTGGTCCGCGTCTTCCCAAGCCGTCTGGGCGCTGGCGACTGGCGGCCGGGGGCCCTCCTGGTTTCTCCATTTAATGTGAAGTGGAGATTCTCTGCGCCGGGTGGAGGTGTGGAGGGATCAAAGTTATGCCTCTTCTCAGTGATTATGCCGCAAAGTGTGTCTCCAGCGTCTCTCCAAGATTTCACTATAGGAGGCTCGCTTTCTGCTTCCTACCTCTAGCCGCCATCTTGGAATCCCCTCAAGTCTGTATTCTTGCTTTTATTCTAGAAGTTCTTGTGTCCTGTCTGAATCCCAGTCCTGCTAAACCTCTTAGGAACTTCAGAACACAGCATTTTTGATTGAGATGTAAGCCTTTAAACTGCTTTCATTGAGACACCATGATGAACACATATTCAGAAGGTATAAGAAATGCAGTTATAAAGCCTGAAGTGGTGGTGCATGCCTTCAGAAGGTTGAGGCAGGAAGGACCTCAAGTTGGAGGTCAGCTTGGGCTACATAGTGAGACTGTCTCAAAAATACAATGTGATTATTACACACACATGGGTTTGGTGCAAGTTTTTTTGCCCCCTTTCTTATGGAATAGTTTTTACCCACTTCTTTGAAGTAAAACAGAAATAAAAGGTGTGTAAGCTCAGTGACTTTATAAGCATACTGTGAATCCCCCAGATTGACTCATCCCTGTGTGGTGTGGCAGTTTATTTTGATCATATAGGACATTGTTCTTTTCCAGCGCAGCTCCATGCCTAAGTTTCATTTCTTAGACTATGTAGAGGGAAGGGATTATCCAGCCAGTTTCAGCCACTGCTTACCATGAAAATGCAAGTCCAAGGAGTAAACACTTCCCAGCTAAGCCCACCACTAAGGTCTCACCTCCAGTCCTGTCCTCGCCGTTTCCTTGTTTCTGACTGAAGATTTGTGCCTCTCCAATTACCTATGTTGAAGCCTGACTCCAAATGTAATGGTATTTGGAGGTGTGGCCTTAGGTCAGAAGACATGAAGGCAGTTACCTGGGCTGGTGGAGTGGCTCAGGTGGGTGCCTGTCTAGCAAGATTGGGCCGAGTTCAAGCCCCAGTACCACCTCTCCCCCCCCCAAAAAAAGAGGAACATCTGCCAGCACCTGATCTTGGACTCTCAGCCTTCAAAACTGAGAAATACCTATTGAAGTCACCAGGTCAGTGGTATTCTGTTATGTCAGTGTTTACAGGGAAAGTATTTACACAAATGTGTAATGGAGAGGTTGCTGTGGTAGAACCCAGGGTCTTCAAGGAGTGTGGAGGCCTTCCCCGCAATGAAACACTTGTTAGCAGGATGTCTGGAAACCATGCAACCACACAGCATTCTCACTGTTATGAAAAGGGTCCCCCGATGAACAGCTCTGAAAGGCCCTGGCATCACAGGCTTGCTCCCCTCCTCCCCCTTGGGTAAGCACTACAAGAGCCTTGCAGGTTATATCCACCTTTTCTCTGCTAGGTTTCATTTCCAAAAAAAAAAAAGAAACCAAACCTCCCATCAGCTCCAGAGACATGATCTCACCTATGGCATAACCTGGATTTCCGTGCCTCTTGGTCTTTCTATCAGGGAGTGGTTTAGGAGGCCAAGGCTTGCTCAGCAGGAGTCTCAGAGAGGGATAAGTGGCAGAGGCATCCTGAGACCAGGAGACATGACCAGCAGATGGTCCTTGGGTTAGAAGCCATTAAGAGCTGGTGTGTTCTAGGTGGGGGTCTGAGAGCCTGGGCTTGCCATAGCTATTTTTGCCAGGGAAAAAGCATCTTTTGCTTTTTTTGGTGATTATAGTTCTGCTCCTCAGCTGTGTTCAGATGGTAACGCTCACAAAACCCTAAGGGACTTACTTTGTCTTGGGGAAAGATTACCATGATATTAAAATGAAAGGCCACTGGTGCCTTTAGACTGATTTGTCAGTAACTTACAGAAAAAGTGATGTCACCCTGTTACTCGGGGGCTGGCAGACAGACCAGCAGTGCCACTGTTACTTGGGCATTTGTTGAAGTGCAGAGATGCAGGCCCCAGGTCAGACTCGCTGAGCCAAAAAAAAGACCCCAAGAGTTTCCTCTGTGGATGAGTTTGGTAAGCACTGTACTAGGTCATTCAGAAAAAGAAACATGCACTGTCCACGTTATTTCATGGACTTAGTGATAAAAGTGGGGTAAGGGGACTTTGGATATGAATTTAAAGATGTGGGTTGAAAACAGCTCTTGGCAGGACTGGCTGATTCCCAGTCCAAGTGTCTCCGGCTTAGACTGGGGAGTGCACAAGACACCCAAGTCACTTGCTGCTCCCCATGTCACCAACGACCCAGCACAGTGAAGCTCTGGGGTAAAAGAATTTCCCTTCCAGGCCACAGCAGTAAATCAGCCATACTTCAAGGTGTCCCCTCCCCACAGAGGCTGACAACAGCTGTGAAGGGACATGGGGCATCTGTCTGTCCTCACCACAAGACTTCCTTCTAAAAGTACGAGGTTTCTAATGATGAAGAAATCATTTCACAGAATCTGGGCTAATTTAAAAAAAAAAACCAACTCAGCTAACATCCCTTTAATTGTAGAACCATACACACCCGGGATCTTTTGAATTCTAATTCCATTCTTTTATTTCCTCATACTACAAGCATTTTAAGTTTATCCACCTTTTTACAACCTGATTTACACGAGCAAACGGCAAAGATAAAGGCCACTCTTTCACCCTCCAAAATACATGAAATAGAAAGTTTCAGCTGCAGCAGCTTTACTGCAGTCTTTTAAAATTAGCATTGCAGTTTAAATATTTATGTCTATAAAGGTTTGCATAATCTACAATATAGTTATTTCAAAAGCAGTTAAGACTTTTAATTGGGGAAAAAAGAAAACTTCAACACAAAGCTATAAGGATTATCTGAACGTTAAATTATTTACAATTAAACATTTAGGGTCCTGATTCACAAAACTTAGTGCATTTCATGATTACGAGTTTTACAGGGAAGGTAAGCAGAACAGGTGACAAGCAAAGACTGTGGTAAGCACAAGAAGAAAAATGATTTTTCCCGCTTCTTAGTTAAAACAACAACCAAAAATCATTCCCGATATTCTCACACCTGGACTCTGGGTAATTCTCTTTTCCTCCTACAGAGTTGTCTTTGGACTTAATGAATCTGCATATGTAAACAAATAAAGGACAGGTCCTGTACAACAGTCATCAGAGTGCAATGGGTTTTATTCAGCAGTGAAAGCTTGGGGCCAGGTGACCAGTGGTTAGTTATTCTAACTGAAAAGAAACACCATGGATAAGGTGCCAGGAATCCAAAATTGCCCTTGAAGCACTTCTGTGGATTCCAGTGATTTTATGTACACACCAAAGAGATGACTCAAAAAAAAAAAAATCAACAAGGGATAAATTTCAGTGAATCAGGTCCCAGGTAGTCTTTAAAGGAACATTTACAGTAAATATTTTAAACTCTGGAATGCAGGTATGGTACAATTACCAGTAGATTACATTTACAAAACTGCTTAGACAGTAGTGGCTCCAGAGTAAGAATTCAAAAATGTACAAGCCAGTTCACAATGACTTTAGATACAGTGTTATTAAAATACATTGTTAATCATAAAAATACTTTACTATATACATGTACACTGTATAAACTCTAGATTTACCTACTGAAGAAGCCTTAGGCAATGTCTGGCCACTGGCTCAGACAACACTGCACGTCTACCATTTGGTCTTTACACCTTACACTTGGGCTGAGTCACAGTACTGCAGTCAGTTCTTCAATGAATGAGTAATGCACTTTTCTCTCTGCACAATGTCTAGTTGGAAGAGTCAGTTTTATTCCCACTATATTTCACTTTCCTAAATGCTGACCCCAGTAACTCTGGGCATTCACATAATTCATTTGCAATTTGGTTACACTTCAAAATAAGGTTATAGTTCATTTCATCAGTTATGACACTGTCTTGCTTGTAGTCAGGATGGTTTGCAACAAACTCTCTCATCCACCTGGCAACTGTCATTAATTCTCCTGAAAAAAAAAAATTAGGACAATGTAATGGAGGTATTTTTAAAGAAGCTGATACTTAGTGGTCAGCATAAACATTTGCAGGTGACAGCAATCTGTGAGGTACAAGTCAAGCACTGTGAATGTCATCTCCTAAAGCTGACAAAGAAAGGGCGTCAATGGACAGAGGTAGGCTGAAGAGCCAGACATCCTGCTGTGCAGCTCATTTAACTACAGTTACTTAGAGCCATTCAAGAACTTACAGTGGTGTACAATCAACATAGTTGGATAGAAACGACAAACAAAAAACCCTACTCATATGTAAAAGATTACATATAAGGTGTATCCAACTGTAGAGTTGTTAAAACGTGAAAAAGTGTGCACTTAAAGGGACTTTAGGAACTGAACATTGGTTATAGGGAGTCAGGAAAAGAAGGGGAAAGCTACTGTACCTGAGGCTCTCTTCTTAATTAGCTTCAGGTAGTTGAGAATGCTACATCTGGTGTCCACGTCCACTTCCATGTTTTCAAGGTAAGAGTTCAGAATGGGGATGAGTCCAGGAAACACACCTTCCTACAAGAAGAGGACACATGTGAAGCCCTCTGCCAGCTGGTGCACAGGTGAGGGTGCTGTGCAGGCCCTACCTTTCCATTGACGATGGTGTCTATACTCATGAGAGTGTACTCCTCCACTGCCAGCTCTGAGCTGTTCTGGGCCTTGCCACACCCATCCACAACAGCGTTGCCACCTGCTGAGGAGAGGGCAGAGAGGCTTTGGTGGTTTGTTGCAGCCTAAACTGACCCTATAAACCCAAGTGAATGTCATACCTTTGCAAATATCTTTCCTGAAATAAAACATTCCCTGCAAGACAGCATCTCTTTTCTGTGCTACTTTCATGTTTTCGTCAACCTAAGGAAGAAAAAGAATCATGACTAAGTCAAGACATTTTTGATCAAAGGTTATAGTGCCTGCCTCACTAACTTAAGAATTTTGTCCCCACCTTGAACCAGGTGAGGGGGGCTTGCACCTATAATCCCAGCACTCAGTAGGCAGGCTTTGTAGCCTGGGATACAAAGCAAGACCCTGTCTAGACTAACTAGACAAAACAAAACAAAACAAAACAGAATTCTTTCCCCTCCAGTTCTTCCTGGTTGAAAGAACAGTTTATATGAGCCTATGCCGCTCACCGCACATTGGTTTGTGCTTCTTAATAATGGTGGGAAATTAAGAGAAGCTCACTTAAAAAAAATGAAACAACAGCATACTGATGTAGGACACATGCATTTCAAAGCACCGTTGTGACTGAGCCTTGCCAGAAGTCTCAGGGGCTGGGATGGCAGATGGTGGCTTCTTTACACAGCACAGTGGCTCAAAGGTCCCAGGGCAAGAGAGACCTGCAGGGTTAAAATCCTCTTGACTTCACGCCTGATGGCCTCTCCTGCCTGACACTGGGGTTGGTGGCTTCACTTGAGGGAGGGAAGGAAAAGTGTCCATTGCCTGTCAGACTGGGCAGCTGGTGACCAGTGCTATGTGCCCCCAGGTGACTCATTCATAGAAGTCACAAAATCTTTTTATACTTGTGGAATTCTCATTTCTGCAATGACTTTTTAAGACCCTCAAAGCAGACCTTTTAAAGTTTTTCAGAAGTCTCTTATTTTCTATAACCCTAGTTTAGGTGGAATCTCAATGCATAAAACAGACACAGGGCAGGCGAAAATGGGATGGAAGGTGCAAAGTCTTTTTTGATTACTTACCTCCCTCCACACTCACTGTGTGTGTGGGAGACCTATTATTGCCACTGCTTTGATTTTTATTTCTCATTAAATACAAATTTTTTTTGTAGTGAGAGATGGAACCCAGGAACTTTAGGTAGACAAGTGCTCTAACACTAAGCTACCTTCTAGCTCTACTGCTTTGTTTTTTAAGGCACACTAGGCACTTCTAGGAGAAAAATTCTACTATGGCTGAGGTGGAATCTGTTTTTTTCTTTTTTTTTCCTTCTTAATCTTAATAAAAGTGCATGAAGATTGCTGGTTTTATTTTAATCTCTGCTTTATGTAAGTTCCTTTTTAAAAGTATATTTTATGATTGCTCTTCAGATCAATTGCTTAGGTTTACTTTCAGTTTTTTTCTTAAAAGATTTAAAGCCAAGATTTTTCCTTAGTGACTGGTTCTGTCAGAATCCCAACGTCATTCACTTTTCTACCCATCTGTCATTCTAGTTTTGACTAGGAAAAAAAAATCTATTAGGAAAGACATTTTAAATTTGCAATAGTTAAAATTCTCTCTCTTGTGTGCATGTGAGGCAGGGTCTTGCTATGTATGCAGGCCAGGTTGGCTTAGAACTTGCTCGTGGACTAGCATGGCCTTAAAATTGAAACCCACCTGCCTCTGTCTTGGTATTTTTACACATCTTCCCCAGAGCACTTGAAAACACAAGCTGTACCTATTAACCATGGCACTTAATTCTCCTATGGCTCTTCTTATCCTGTAGTGATGTGATCTTCCTGCCTCAGGCTCCCTAGTGGGATTACAGACGTGCACCATTATGCCTGGCCTGTTTTTGCATTGTAATGAGTTTTGTCTATTCAAATTTATTTTCAGTTTATTGTCACCACTTTATGTTTTGTGGGGTATACTGTCTTAACATTCTCACCTTACTCCCACTCTGGTGGTACTTAAGTTTTCTTTGTTCTTTTCCTCACCTTTTTTGGCCAGCAGTTTGGAAGTAAATTTAGTAACTTAGTTTTAGATTAAATATATCCTACATTATTATTTTGTAGAGCTGGGGATAGAACTAAGGACCCTGCACATATTAGGCAAGCCTCACCCTGACCCAGTTCTCTTTACTTTCAAACAGTAGTTCCCAAAGTATTGTTTCCCTAAATGTCTAGCACTAAAGTGTACCTCCCATTCCTCACTGACCACCATCCCCTTCTGAGATGCTAAGTATGAATGTCTGCATCCTCTAAAACCCAGAATTGGGCTGGCAGTGTGGCTCAAGTAGGAGACCGCTTGCCTAGTAAGCCTGAGACCTTGAGTTCACTTCCCAATGCCACCAAGAAAAAAACCCCAACAAACTCGTATGTGTACACATCTCAGGTAGGACATGTTGACAACAGTGGAACTACACTATGGAACTTAGGGGGAAGGGAAAGGAAAAGAGAAGGATAGAGTTAATATTGAAATACTTCACATTTGTGCTGGTAGAGGACACACTGTGGGTACTGACAGCTGTTGAATAACAGGAGGTGAGAGGGAAGGGGTGAGGGAGAGTAACAGAGGGGGCTGAGTGACCAAAGCAAAGCATATCTTATCTGAAGCAGGGACACAGCAAGAAACCCCTTTGAACATTGACTTGGTAATTAATCATGAAAGACAGGACTGTGAAACAGGTACAGTGGGGGGGCACTTGTGGGAGGGTGAAAGGAAGAGATGAAGGTGAAGGAATATGGTTGATGGGCTTCAAATACAAATAGGAAACACAATGATGAAACTTCTTGTAATTACTTGAAGCGGGGTAGAGAGGGGTGGCAGTAGGGGCGGGGAGATGGAGGGGGATGAGCTAAACAGTGCACAATGTAAGGCTATTCAGAATTATCAAAACAAATCCCTCTGTACAATGAATATATGCTAATAGAAGTGGAGGGAAAAACCCTCGTATGTTGGAACCTGACCCCATGTGACGGTTCTCTGGGGCCTTTGGAAGGTTTGCCTCATGAATGGGAGACCCCTTATAATCCTTTTTTTTCCTTTAGCAGTATCCTTTTTGTCCCATCCAGTTCATTTTTGGAGATTCAGAAATTCCTAGATTTGGGTTCTTCTAGTATTTCTGTCTGATCCTTAATGAACTCTTATGTCAAGGACAAATTCTGTCCATTATATCCTTAATTATTATTTATATCTCATATCTCTTATACACTATTCCCTTTTTCTAAACTATTAGACAAACACAAACTTTCCAGTGCAATTCTCCACGCGTTGGTTTTCCACAATTTCCATTTCACTGCTCTCCTGCTGGGATGAAATCTTAATTTGTTTTCCCGAGTCAATTAACTGGGCCCCTCAGTAGCACCCGTTTTACTGGTGAGCATCCTGAATTTGAAAGTGTTTGCTTCTAAGAATTCCTATGCTCCAGATGCTTGTTGGTCCATGTGCTTGTTTATTTTATGGAGGTGACTTTTCTCTGAAATTTCTTTAGCACACTAACTCGGATTTCTTTAAGAATTCCTTTCAGTTTCTTGAGTCAGCTGTTTCACTGAGGACCCTCCACCAAGGGAGGAAGAAGGGACTTTCTCTTCATGGCTGTTTATTGTTCTTATTTCTCTGGTGGCTTTCAGAGATCTATTTATATTTATAAGCAAAGGCTTAGGTTGGCAGCTCTCACTGACTCTGTCTTGGATAGACTTGATCTTCCTGGCACATACACCCATAGGAGCATCACAGGTCCCCAGAATTCCACAGGTTATCTCAGGCCTGGGTATGCTCAGCAGGCATGGACAGGCTGATAGCCAGACTTCCCTCAGCATGTCCGTGAGCTGACAGGGACAAGCTGGCAAACCGCCTATGGAGAGACCAGGGGGTGAGGTTTCCTGGGGCAGAGACTGAGGCTGAACAGTTTTATGCTTCCTTCCATGTTTGCTGTGACAAGGCTGCTCCACTTCTCTGGCATAAATTCTCCAGAGCCCACTGCAGCATAGCTCTCACCCTGCTTGGCCATCATTTCCAGCAACTCTCATGCCAAGACAACCATGGGCTCAGGAACCCAGGGCTTCAACTTACTCAGCTACTGCCCAGGACACACAACTTTGCTGCCTTCCTCCGGAAAGCTCCTCTTCTGTTTTTTTGTTAGACTGGGGCCGAGTAATTCAGATTTGTTTTTCTGATATCCAATGATATCTACATCCTCCAAAAACAACTCGAGTTTTGAACTGAGGAAAACTTTCCCCAAATTCTAGCACTTACCCTTTCCCTTGCCATCCTAATTTTAACACTACATACGACGGGATTCTTGGGTGATGACATGGATCTGTGGGAAAACCTCTAGAAATGAAGCTTAGGTTTAAGAGGAAAAACAAGGTGAAGGGAGGAACACTTTTTCCTGAAGGGTAAATTCTGCATGAAGCCAGACTGGAGATGAAGTGTACATAGTGAGTTAACATACCTACAGGTATCTATGGCCACCTCTGTATTGAAAGGCATCCTCACCTTTGACAGTGGAATGAGAAAATCCAGTTTGTACGAAAGGATCACCCTGGTAAGCAGTACCACAAAAACCACATAAGCGGAGTTCTCAAAGTCCGTCAACTGCACCTAGACAAGCAGAAGCCCAGGGATGTTAGCCACCAACTACATGGCTCTGATCTTCACCCTGTCCCTCTTCAGACCACACTGTTTCCAAGTCATCTCTTCTTCCTCATCTGGAGCTAGAAGCCCTCTGCCTGGACTGAAGAAATCATCCACCCTCCTTCTCCCCCGGGCACTGGCTTTTGGACGTGCTTTTAACAGACACATTTGGATTCTTACTGCCTTAGGTTAATGCAGATCCTTCTGAGAAGAGCCCCAGAAGGGACACAAGAAGTCAGAAGAGGGCTTTTGAGTCACTTCCTGCCAGTGTGTATGCCTCACCTCCATAGGCCGGAATTCTACTCTCCACCCAATATCCGAGTTTGGAGGAGGGGGTTTAAACCTCATTGTCTGCCAATTTGTGGACTGAATGTTCTGCAATAAAAAAAAACAGAGGGTGAACCCACTTTCCACACCCTCAGGAAAATATTAAGATGATGTGGTATTTAGTTAATGAGGAAGACTGTTCACTGTCTACTCCAGTTAATTTTCAATTTATAAACACAAAAGGCACAATTTAAGACTGTCTTGAGTGTGGCCTGTTGGAAAACAAACCAGCAAGTGTTTAATAATAAAGTCAGGTTATTACCTGCAGCACTGAAGGACTGATGAGGTTATTTTTGTGTTTTATGTTTGAATTTTTCATCACGAGGCAAACGAGAAATTACCAAACAACAACAATGTAGGCTCAAAGAAACAATCAGTAAGATTCATAAAATAAGAGTACTTTAACCACTTTTTAACTTTTCTCAGTTCTTTACTGCATTAGGCAATGAAATGCTTATGAGATTTCTCTGTGACCAGCTCTGCACAGGTACAGAGAGCTGCCTCATGTGCACCTGAACCGGAGGAGATACCTCAAAGTGGTCGGCCTCGTTGGCATCGTCCAGGTGGATCTTCTCTTGGAACAGGGTCAGCGGGTCCCTGATGAAGAGGTGAGCGATGTGCTGGGCCAGGAGGTGATCGATACCTGCGAAGACAGACCGCACAGGACTGACTGACTGCGGGGAGGACGCTGCTCCTCTAAGTCCAGTTTGAAGGAAGGTGTCTAGAAGCCTAGGAAATGGCTGGGCTGGTTTAATAATCTCACCTTGCCCAAGATTTTTATCCTATGGACACTGGGGGAGAGTCAGAGTTTCACTCACTACTTACACAATGCCTGCTGGGCACTGATGTGGACCTAGATACAGAGCTCCAAAGTAAGTTCCTTTTGCTAAAAGTCAAGAAGATCTCACAAGTATTTGGAACTTGAAACTTTAGGAACAAGCAGCCTCATAAGAAAAGTTAGAGACTTCACACTAAAAACAGAAATCAGACCAGGAGTCAGCAAAGGTTTAAAGTGCTTTGAAGAGCAAAAGGTGTACATACAATCAAACCCGGAACCTGGAGGGGCTCTCACCTTCCCTCAGGAGCTGCTCGTAGATTCCTCTGTCCACAGTCAAGTCGATGTCATTGTATTTCTCACCGCACTTGGACAAGTAGCTGTCTATTGAATCGTATCGGGATTTACTGATGCGATAGTTATTGTTCTTCAGTGGCTACAATACAAAAAACATGAGTGAACGCCATAAAAAGTGGTACGAAAATTAACACCCCAAGCACTAATATCAAAATACATTTTATAATAACATAAAAGCATGTTTATTTCTACTTGTACAGCATGGTGAACAATTTGTGAATAATTACGTAAGGACTAGAGCCCAACAGTCCTGGTTAAGATTGTCAGAATCACTCCTGGAACTTTCCCACCCAAGTCCAGATTGCAGTCCTGGAGACTCTCATGTATCAGTCTAGGAAGGCCTGGGTGTCTATGGATGGAGCTCTCCACAGGTGGTTGTGATGCCCACCCTTGGGCACACAGTTCAACATGCAAACAAGAGGTGCTAACTTGCCCTTCCTAGGCAAAGCCTGACTGTCTATATGGGAAAACCAAGTTTGACAACAAATTATGCTTTCACAGCAGAAAGCATCATACACAAAGCACTCAGGCTGTGGCCAGAGCCTTTTCATAAAACAGCTATCAGCACTGCCTCCCAAAATACAGAAAACAGACACTGCTCTTTTTAGAAGTTAAAACAAACACAGATTTCAGCAAAACATAAAAATTGATTCCTCACACAAGTCACTTTCTTTCCACACATCCACCTAAAACAAAGGCAGGTTTACAAACTCTATTTTTCCCACAGGACTAATCCCCTCATGATAAACATTTAAGGGAGACTTCAAAATTCCAAGTGATTACAAAACCCATTTTACCTGCTTGATTAAAAGGACTACTAAGTAAAGGAGAAAAATGATGGAGGGGATGAATTCAACTATCATATATCTTAAGCACTTTTGTAAATGCCACAATGTACAACAATAATATGATATTAAAAAATAAATTTAAAAAATAAAAGGGATATTAAGGAAAAATTCCTACCTCCAGGCCTCGCTCCTCCCGTGTTCTGTCATCTACAGATGCAGAAATCACTCCCCAGCGACAGTCAATGTCTGACACATAGCCTCGGTAAAAGGGAGACGCAGCACTCAAGGCCATCTAAAAACAAACATGAGTCAGCTCCTGCCACTCAGTCGTAACACGCTGAAAGACTTCACACATTCTTTTCCTGATGAAAGAGAACCGCTGTATGCAATCCAGAGTTTTACTACATATGCCTATGGCTTGTGTTTAAAGTTAAATACACTTGAAACACCCCAAATCCTTGGATCCCATTCACTTCTATGACTCCCTGTAGAGTGTGAGGATATAACAGGAGAACGGCCATACTCAAACTTGACATTTAGCAAATGCATGTTTTACTAACAACAGTAAGAGTCTATAGCATAGTTCCTCAGCTCTAAGTCTGCACACTACTTAAAAATTATTCAGAGATGAACTAATGGACTTAATAGGACTCAAACAGCACACTCAGCAAATACAGTCTCATTTTATACAAAGATGTACTTAAAATAAGATGTATTTTCTACTTACAGCAATTGGACAGATGGTGGCCAACTGATCATAAAGGTATCTAGCCTCAGAAATGCTGCAGGCTTGGAATGTTACCTGTTTAAGAATGCAAGTTATTACAGACGAAAAGTCATTGGCATGCTTCCCAAGCACTGAAGTCTGACTAGGGAAGTGACTGGAGAACAGAGTGGGCAAGGCCAGTCACCTCACTGATGCTTACTGAGTGTTGTCTCAAAGCTTTCTTAAGTGAACTTAACTGGAAGGTGGGATTTAATCATGCTTTACTACAAATGGGCAGCTCAGATGAGTAACCTTGTTCCTAGGAAAAACAGGTAGCATGGTGAAGTTCAGTGGGGCATTTCCTTCTACAGCTTCCCATCACTTCAGTTCAAGGGCTTACTTGAATTTTGGTACAAAAGGATTAGGGAGACGTTAAGGATAGCTTTAAAGTACACTGAGGGCAGTGTGGAGAACAGCTGGAAGAGGGCAAGACCAGAGCAAAAGCAGCAGCTCTAGTGATCAGTGGGGCAGAGGTGGGGGAGGACTTGAGTTTGGTCTGGGTATTCCTAGACAGACACGAGTAAGGTTAGAGAGGGGGAGGTCCTGGGCGATGAGGTCAAGGAGACAGACATGGTTTGTTCTCCAGGGATGGTGTCCAGAGGAAAAATGTGAGCTGCAGAAATATTTAGGGATTAGGCTCAGATGATGATGTCCTGAAGATGGGGAGACCACCAGAAAGCCTTCCTTAAGGGGAAAAGTAGGATACTTAAGTTAGGCAGAGAAAAAGATCATATAATTGGTTAGCACAAATCCTCTAAATAAAAACGTTCTGCCCCCTTCCATGGGGGAGGGTGGTAGTGGTGTAGAAAGGTGCAAGGAACAGGATTTGTTGGTATTAGCACATTTGTCATAAATGCAAATTGGGAACAGTGCTGCTATTCAGTCATGACAGTTTAAGTTTGGTGGTGGTGTGGGAAACAATTTACTGCTCAGGACTTGAAATGACAGCAGATGAAGGAATAGGTTCATGTTAACATCTCCACCTCTTAGTTCTGATAGTTTAACTATGCCTCAGCTCTGCTTCATTAACAGCAGACGGCTTCTGTGGGAATCTCTGTTGAATTACAATTGCATTTCATGTCCACATGCTGACCAACTAAAGAAAACAATGATTTCAACAACGTAGCATCCAGATCTTCCTGGTTTCCACGTAATGCTTAAGTCTCCACTGTATTTCAATTAAAAACTATGATAATTAGCCATTATAGATTAATTCAACATGGAGAAGAGTTATGTCACGGTCATAAAGGAAAAAGAGTTTCAAAGGTTAAAATAAAGATGGAGGAAGATTGTCTATTACATAACTGATAAGCAAAACAAGGGCTCTTTCTGTGAGAAGGCAGGAACTTGGGAGACCAAATTGTGTGTAGTAACCATTACTGTGAAGTAAGGACATGAAATGTTGGCTCCAGGAGGGATCTCTCTTGCTATTTTCTGCAAGTCTGTGGCACAGTGTCTGACACCTAGCTACAGAGTATCCTGAAGGAAAGAGGACGTTAAGGAGGACACAGGAGCAAAGGGATATCGAGGCACTTAAAAAACTGTGACCCTAAAACCAGATTTACAGGGATTGAGATTGAACACACCAGACCGTCCCAATCATTCTGACTGGTGAATTCTGTTGAACATGCGTCTCTTAGTTTATCTAGGTTCTTCTGTAACTTTTAGGTATTTTTAGTGTATATTACTTTTTTGGTTTTTCAAAGATACTATGATATACATTTTTGCTTGCCAGTGTTTTGACTGGCATCTCTTAGATGGTTTAAGATAATTCATAAACAAATCCTGGAAAAACCAACACTAGAAAACTGTACTTAAGAAAAGAAGCAACTCTAGCCACGTGCCGATGGCTTATGCCTGTATTCCTAGCTACTTGGGGGGCTGAGATTGGGGGGTCATGGTCCGAGACCAGGGCAGGCAAATAGTTTGACACCCCATCTCCAAAATAACCAAAGTAAAATGGACTGGAGGTGTGGCTCAAGCTGTTGAGCACCCACTTTGCAAGCATGAATCCCTGAGTTCAAATCCCCATCCCAACCAAACAAAATAAAAAGTAAAGAAAAAAAGCAACTGAATTTACAACAGCAACAGAAGTTACTTTAGATGACTGTAGTAACTACCTTCCTTGCTCTGTCTGCATAGCGTGCTCACCAAATCAGATGAAACATCACTGCGGGTGACGGTTTTAATGGAGAAAGGAAAAAAATTCTTAAACCTTAAAGAGGGTATGAATATGCAAACAGTTTTGGCTTCTGGTATCCCTTGAATACATCATCTAAACTAGGAAAGTGACAACAGGAAGGAAGGAGGACCTGTGAAAAGCAGATGTTAGAAACCTAATCTAAACTTCACCTAGACTGCGTTTTGAAGCTGCATGATTTTCTTAGGGTGGAAAGACCTGTTATAGCATGTCATGAACTTACTGCCTACTAAACAATTCCTGAAAAGCCAAAATGGCAAACTTTGGTGGGTTGTTTGTTTTGTTTTGAGAAAGGATCTTGCTGTGGAAGCCAGGATGGTCTAGAATTCCCAATCCTCCTGCCTCAGCCTCTGAGTGCTAGGATTACAGGTGTGTGCCACCATGCCCAGCTCAAGAGTTAAGAATCTGAATGTGGTTAAGATGGTTTTTGTTTTGTACAATAAGTATTCCATTAAACTTAAATATTACTTTGAAACTATTTTTTTCCTGGTTTACTATAACAAGCAAATTTTCTGGTTCCTTTAACAAAACAAAGCAGGGATTTCTGTGGTTATTTGTGGAGTTCATTTGCCACATACTTTACACGATCTGTTAATGACAGACATGTCATTGGGTTTGGAGACAGTGTTAAATTTCAAGAAAGCTTAAGTAGGATAGAGAATTGTATCTTCACATAACAAAAATGTTTATTCCTCTACCACTAAGACGCATGCATTTGTACAAATGCAGTGTTTCAAGGGAAAGAATATCTCTTTCCCTTGAAAGTAAACTGTATCACAGGATCTGTGCTTCCATGGCAGAACACCGTGGTTTAATATTAAACCAAGGAAAGGCGATGGCTACCCTGATAGCACTCACACAATTTTGAAGCTATGCACTGTAAATATTAGGACTTAATGGCTCTCTTTAGAAATACTAGTAATTAAGACAGGAAAGTAGATAATGCAGTTAAAAGTCAAAGGTTCTCTTTTTTAATTAAGTGCAACAATTCCTAAGGAAATTTACTGGCTTGTACTTGTTTGGAAACCACTTATCTTATACTACCTACATATGTCAGGAAAAACAGAAAAAACCCTTTTCCTTGGCCATGTTCTATAAACACAGTCAGTGGGGAAAAATGTGATATGGCCATTCAGTTGGATTACGGCTTCCAAAATAAACAGGCTGGAGGTATATGTGCAAGAAGATGCATGTCTGCACTATAGCTGTTTGAGATGGAACAATGCTGGTCTTCTGGCCTATGTTAAAGAGACATCAGGCTGGAACCCAGAAGGGCCTTACAAGGGGCCAGGTTTTACCTGCAATGGGTCCCTAAGGGCTGTTTCTAATCAGCAGAAGTAATTAGAACTCAAAAAAAATCTCCTTGGATAATAACAAGCTGCCTTTTATTCCCCCATTTGAAATTCTCAGTTTAGAAGTTTATATGTTGTGCAACTTCTACTCAGGTTACACTGTGATTTTAATCAAATGAGGGCTGCTAACAACTAGGTCTGAAATAAATATTAGCTTAGAGGCAGACCTTGAAGGGGCCTCAATATAAACTCTTCTTGTGCAAAAACTGAGAAATTTGAGCCAAAAATTGAGTTACCCAAATACCTGAACAGTGACAGAGTCACACAATGGCCCTGTGCTCTCCACGTGGGTCCTAAGTGAACCTGGGCACAATCACTGCCAGAAGCATCAGTCATTTAATCAGAAGATTTTAAATGAGTAAACAGACAGGCTACTTCACCTCCTGGGTAACTTATTTAGGGGCAAGGCAAACACAGGCTTTATACTGTAAATATTTATTCACTTTATACTGCTAGGTGGTTTTGAGTGAATATAAAAATTTAAAGTCCAAACACATTTCCCTGAGATCACAAAATTAATGGCATACATCCATCACAGCTCATTTGCAGAAAGAAGATGCCACTAGCTGGCAGTAAAAACTGGGCATCCAGAATAGAGACCGTAATCATGGAACACTTTGCATTTAAAGTTAATTAAAAATTACAGACCTCTGTGCTGAACTCTTATTCAAGAGACAGTTTCAAATAAATTTACTAAAATAATCTCATTGCTTTTCAGAAAGGCATACCAGCTACTATTTCAACCTGGTTAAAATGTGATTTTTAAAATGAGAAACATGTATATATAAAGAAAAGTTTTAAAGAGAAATACATGAGGACACTTTGCCTCTCCTCTCCATGGAACTAAAGCCATACCTGAAGACAGCAGTTGCCCATCCCAAATCCCATGGCATCCATGTAAATGTGGTCCGGCCTCGAAGCCTTGGCTGCCTCCTCATCCTCAAATGTTTCCATAAATGGAGATGGGGTGTTCTTGTCCTTAAATACTGTATTATTAATTAAAAAGAAGACACAGTTGAGAGACACAGATTACACAACTCAGTAAGTCCTCCCCCCCTCTTCTCTGCAGACTTACTGGGCACATTGATGACAACCTTTTCTCCTCTCCTATGCCGGATGTTTCTCGTTAGGGTACTAAAACAGACAACCAAACTTCGTCAATTGGTCACCTGAGAACCACCATGCAAAAGAAGAACTGACCATACACAGATGAATCAACTGAAATCCTACCTCAAACTAACATCTAAGACAATTCTACAGAAAACATGTTTCAAGACGTTCCATAGGGACTTCCTGAAGGATGTCTTGCGTTAGTATCAACACTGGGCTCTTCTATGAGAATACCACTCCCTCCCTGCCCACCCCTTGGGCCATGGCACCGTTACTTATTAAACCAAAATTCAGGTGCTCATGGTCTGCCATGATTTAGGTCATTCTGTTTCTAACATTTCCCACGTTAGTACCAGAGATTTTAGTCAAATTTAAGTACTCATTTTCCCCAGGCAGCTGTAGAGCCCCACTGCCTGACCCCTTCCCTTCCCCAGTGTGCAAGATTAAGACCGACACCTGCTCTGTCTGATCTGGAAGCTCCCAGGCACACTGTGGCCACTGAGCACTTAAAATATTGCTAGTCCTAATTAAAAAATACTATCAGAGTAAAATACACACCAGGTTTTGAAACTTAGCACAAATAAAATAAAAATTATTAATCTTAAAATATTGATTATATGTTGAAATAACATTTCAGATGTATTGGGTTAAATAAAATACTTGATAAAATATTTTTTAATGGGACTACCACAATATTTATGATTCCATTTATGGCTTGTATTATGCTTCTACTGCATAGTGCTCTGATCACTCAGCTTAAATCTCATTTCTGCTGTGAAACCTGCTTTAACGCCCTCAGTCAGTCAGGAGCACTCTTATTTTCTCCAAAGGAACTCTGCTGTTACCATCTTTTGACATCGCTTATAATCTACTCTTTTCTTTCAGCTTAACATTTTTATTTCCCTTTAAACACGTGCAAAGATTTGAAGTTGGGAACTATATATATCTTTGTCCACCCCAAAGATCCTGCACATACAGATATGGAGGCTTGTTAAAGAAATGAACACTGAGAAGTCCCAGCACCCCCAACTCTGAGTCAGGAGCCTATGTGCTCAGGATAGGTGAGCACTCAAGGTACAAAGCCAAGAACAAGCTGGTATAGGTTCTGAAGCAATGTAAAACCTAAGAATTAAACTACAACCTAACAGCCCTAGAGGTTAACAGAACAGAAGATAGTACCTCTTAAATACATCAGTGGCTGTACATATTTTACTTGTCACGGTATATAGAATGAGACGAGTAGATCATACTGGTGGTAACAGAGACTGGGGGGGATGGGGGGGGGAAGGAAGGAACAACTAAGGGAAAACTTCCCTAATTAGGTGTTTACAGAACCTTTTCGTTAGCAGGGAGGACCACTGGCTAAACAAATGACTTTAAAGACGACTTGGAAAATGGACGAACAAAGGAATCAGAATTCAGTAAGTGCTCAAAAAGGACTTCCAGGACAAAATACCATCTCTGAGGTAGAGATCCAAGTGAGGGGCATTTTGGCACATAGCCATACTCACCCGAAGCGGGGGTGCTTGTTTATTGCTTCATCTGGAAAGAAGAGGGACTTGGAGGCTCCTGCTTCGACTGGGTTGGGTTTGTACTCAGGCAATGTGAACCCAGGACAGCCTAACCTGCAACACGGTGAAGAACCAAATAACTGGGTTTGTCTTCAGAAGTAACTGCCTGCAGTCTTGACATACATTTGGACCTGTCAAAACATCTCATTTCTATCATTCCCCTTATCAGAGTCTAGCCCAGGTTTTGGGTTTATGAAGCAAATGACCTGTAAATGCTGGACCCTCTGTAACCACTCCCACACATTTCCACATCTTGCATCCACATCAACTTTTGTGATTTCAGCCCATGCTGACTTTTATCAGAGTCTCCACTCACAGAGCATTTACTAAGGTTCTCATGTCACTGGCTGCATGCAGGTGATGTCCCTCAGTCACATGTCATGGGTTACTGGTGACCCTACATGACTTTTGAAGTGGCCTCTTGCACTAGCTATAAACTCTCAGATTATCTTTTGACCTTGCACACCACCACTGCCCCCAACCTCCTGTCGGGCCTCATTTGAATCTGGGTCTCTTAGCTTTTGCCTCTGTGGGTCTCCTCAGGAATACACCTCAAGGTTAGGCAGTGTCTTGGGTATCCCCATCTACTTGAGAGCTCCTCTGAAGTCCGAATCCCAGCCCTATTATCTTACGTGACCTCAAGAAGAGTTCTAATTCCAACACAGAAAACAAGGCTCCATACTCGTTCACAAGTGTAAAGCTCAAATCCCACCTCCTTTGCAGTGAGGCCACCAGTTCTTCCAAGTTAGGATTTGAAGGTCAGTGCTAAATTTGGTGTGAGGGAGCACAAAGATTGCCAAGATTAGTGAAGGCAAAAGGGGGAGGCTCTTGGCAGGGTTTTGGGTCAGTCGTTTGGGACCCAGGGCTGTCCTGTCCTATTTTTAATCCCCGCCTTTCTTAACGTAAAGTGCCGAGGGCTGACCACCACCTTGTAAACAACAACTGAAGTTGCTGATTGCGTCTGGAAAGCAATTCTTAGCTAGAAAGGCTCCTGGGGGTTCTTAAAGCTATGTTCACCATTTACCACGCCTGTACTCTTAAAGTCCTTTAGGAGAGTGACAAGCAAAAAATCTGGGGGATTTGGGTCTAACCAGAATTGGTTGGGTAAAGACAGATGTCCTGTGTGGCAGGGAGAAGGCAGAGAGAGAGCTCGACCCTTCTGACAGCCATGGCACTGCTTTCTTCAAGACCAATGCTGTCAACAGAACTTTCTGTAGAGATGGAAATGGTCCTGTAATATAATGAAACTCTATCACTTACTGTAGATGTAAGGGGAGGTTTCTGAGAACCGAATAACTAATAATTATTCTTGTTTTGTTCACATGTCCAAAAATAACCTCTCATTGTTATACATACGGTTAAGCAGTTTTAAGAATTACAGATTTTCATAATAAAACTTACACCTTGGCCTCAACTCTTTCATCATGATGATTAAAGAAGCTAAACCTTTTTAAAAAGTGACAACTATTCCATACAGAGCCATTCTCAATTGAAGTAAGAAACAGGTAGGGTGTGACCAAATACTTTACGTTGTGGCCCGGAAAGAGTGACTACTACTATCAATACTGAACATTCCTAAATTTTAAAATGTAAGAGAAACAGTCTGGTTTGCTAAGTGAAGCTATAACCCTCAATGTTAAGTAGGAAAAAGAAAACATAAGACACTGGATTTTCACGTTCACTGAATGTTGTCATACACTTGTAGCCTGCTTCTTGACAGCTACTCTATCATTCCAAGGTTTTCCCAATAATTACCCACAACAATGGCCTGGACATGGATTCTCTCTGGCAGGTTAGCTGATTTTGCAATCTTTATGATCCATCGACTTTTATAATGTCCACTACCCACTCCCATCCAGGCCACCAGTGCGTCCCCAAGTGAGCCCCTCTTCTCTCCTGCTAAGCCCTTGTGCCTGCTTCACAGCCATTCTCAGGCCACAGCCCAGATGAAGGCTGTAAGGCAAACATGACACTATTCAGCCAAGGTCACAACCCACCCACCCCAACCTGCTCAAGGCCTCATACTGCCTTCAGGATCATAATTAAAATTCAGATTAGCTAACCTAATCTGCCCAGCCTCACCATTTCCATTTGCACTTCATTCTCAGCCTCCTGGTCATACCAGCTAACTTGCTTTCTTCCACTGCTCAGTGAGCTTGTGCTTTCCTGTGCATTTCCTCCTAGAGCTCTGGATATCACCGCAATCATCCTTCCTCAGAGAAGACTTCCTTCATCCCCAGAGTTCATCAGATGGCCAGGTCACACTCTCTGGGCTCCACCTCTCTCCCTCAAGGCATGCCCCAGTTTTATACTCCTCTATCATGTGGGTATTTGATTAATCTATGTCTTCCCCTCAGTTCTGCAGAGCAAAGCCTATCTGCTTTTGCTCATAATGGAATATTCACACTGCCTAGGTCTGGCATGGCACAGGTACTCAGTATCTCCAGGTGTTTGATAACTACAAGATTTTAACTTCTGTATTTAATGTTAAAATGGAGCTCTTAAAAATAAAATCCCATTTTAAATGTCCTTCTTAGATTAATAGCATGGTTCTGAATGCCTGTGTTCATCATCAGAAAAAACACAGTTCAAAGTATTCTAGGTCACGGACACCAACCCCCAAAGTTCTGTGAGCTCTGAGGAGGTGTCTGTTTCCGCAATCTGGCAGATATCTAGCATAGGTTAAGTGAGACCTGTGACAGGGTAGAGCTACCTTCTGGATGCTCAGTACCTCATTCTAAGTTGAGAATACATCTTCACTATTTATATTTACTTAGAGGAATGTACTGTCAGAACGAGATTTGAGAATAAACTTTAAGTCTTTTTTTCAGCACAATGTCCAAATGTGACACATCTCATTCACACTTGATATGTATCGGAAGCATGGTGGGGACACAGGTGACCCTCTGATGTGCTCGGATACTGCTGCAATGTGTTCTTAGCTTAGCATATGTGAATATCTCTGCCTATGTTTACATAGTACCTCTGTGTAAGAATGCAGCTCTACCTAGTCATACATCTCACTTACTTACTGTGCTAGATATCTAGACTGAGGAGGTGTGCTCACCTCCTCAAAGTTCAAAGGACTGTGAGAGTTGAGATCTGTGGCCTGGAACGCTCTGATACATACTAGCTGGCAAATGCTCCTTTTGAAGTCCAATGACAAGAGCAGCCAACAGTTACCAGGAGACTTGGCTCTTCCCCACTGGATCAGGCTTGCGTGGCAGACATGCTTCCTTCGTACTGCACCTCAGTCACTGCAGTCACAGGTCTTTCCCACTGGGCTGAGATGTGTGCTCTTACCACAGTGCTCCACACAGCTACCACCACCAACTGAGGCTGGCACACAACTTCTGTTGCAGCTCTACCTTAACAGTTTATTAAATGTAGTATATAAGGTATGAACCATCTGTTAAGCATGAGAATCGGAGAGTGAAATGCATGCCATGATTTGGTCTCTTTATAACCTTACAGTTCTGATATACCAGCTAGGACATACTGACTTAGGAGCTAACCTGGGAAATGAAGTTATTGTGCAAAGAGCCTGATTTTCCTCTAATACAGAAGTCGCCTCCTTCCGGCGTTTTCTCATGTTGTCCTCGACCGTGTTGAACTCAGACATGGTTCCTCCGTAGGGCTGTCCAGGTGTCCCTTCAATCATGTAACTCCCATACTCTGGTCTCCAAAGGGTAGGATGGCTACAGAGGATAAATATTTTTAGTTTCATCTTATTTTGTTATTATTGTTGCAACCTGATCAGTTTTCAGAAGTTTTAAATTTTAGGTATAAATGAGGCAAAGAACTCTTTTTATAAGGTTGTTAATTTTCCATAGCTCCTCAGCTTTACAATGGCTGAAAAGTACTGGGTCTGAAATATCTATAAGCAACCAAGAATGCAACAGGGCACATTGCCCCTACCTAGGAGAAAGCCAGTCCACTTGGTAGGAAATGAACTGAGGCCTCAAAGGCTTTTAGTCCAGTGCTGGGGTCCAAACTTCAGTGCAGCTTCCAAAGACTAGCAAGAGGAAACAAACTAAAGTACATACCCTCTGCCCCTCTTGTACTCTTAAATACTTTTAAAACATTGTGCTAGCCAAACAAAACACATCTACAAGTTTAATCTGGCACCAGGAGGTGTGATCCCAATGTTTCTGCAATGCTTTACGTCAGCATTATATTTAGCTTACTGTACTATTTTCATATATTAATGGAGTTAGTCCCAGCAAGTTAAAAGTATCTACACTTTACAGGTAAGGAAACCGAGGCACAGATAGGTCAAGTAACTTGCTATTGAGTAAACACTACTTGAAACCCAGCAACCAGGAACTAGAGCATACACCCTGAACTGCTATGCCATCCTACTTTCTACAAGTCTGAGAAAAGGCTCTATGTCTACTAAGTAGCTCTAGCGGTTCCATAAATGCTGAATCAATTCTTTAGTACATCTGCTTACTTTGGGTTTGTCCTTTCCCCCTTTTCTTGTAGAGTTTCAAGAACATCTTCTCCAGACAAGACCAACTGGACTTTTTTATTTTCATGATCAAAAGACACCAGCATGTATTCCACCTATTGGAAACAATGAAGGTGAGAAAAGTGAATGTTTTTGCAGACTCCAGCTCAGCATGGTGACCTTTAGAGATAGAGCAGGGAGATATGAAGGTTGGAAAGAATTCATAGTAACTTGAGACAGTCACATTTGTTTACACTCCAGCACCAGAGGGCTTGTTTGCATAACATGAAAACCTGCAGAAGATGGTCAGTCAGTAGTGGCATTGTTTGAGGCCAAGAACTCATTCTTCAATCCCTTCTTTCCCCTACTTTTCTTAACATCCTATAGAAAGGGGCATTCTAGTCAAGGCAGATCACACTTACTGGTAGATTCTTTTGTAATCCCACAACAAATCCCATGCTGGGAGTTAGTCCATCCTCAAACACACCAATGTGCAGAAGTTATTTTAGGGTTTCAACAATTTAGTTTTGGTAGGTCACAAATAATTCAAGATAACTTCTGTGCTCCTGAACAGTATAAAATTCACAGTGCAGGGTACCCTGAGGCATTTATAATGATACCTGGTGGAGTTCTGATAAAATCAAGCGTCAAATACCAAAGAAAGACTTCTCTGAGCAAAGCACAGCTAGAACCTGCTTTAGTTTTCTCTGAAATCACACAGCACCAAGACAGTGGCTGTAGAGAACAGGAGGCAAAAGGATGTCCCAGTAAACTAACGAGTCCCACATATATTTGGTTGGTTTACAGTAGGCAATAGTAACCGTATTTCACATATGAGTCCAGATTTTCAACCTTAAAAATCACACCCAGAAACTAACACTTGGCTTGTGTCTCCAGGATTGGGAGGGGTGCTCTCTCTTGGGGGGTGCATACTTTGGTTTGCAGTACCTATTCACTTATTTATGTGGACCTGTCCAGTCTTGGAAGAATGCGAGCTACCCTACCCCATCAAAGAAACTCATTTTTAAGAAACTATCTTTCTCTTCAGCTAAGAAATATAAAGAAAAAATGTGGTTAACCATAGGAAGTAACATGGCAGATTTAAACAGCAGCAAAAAACAAAACAAAACAAAAACCCTTTCAATTAACTTATTAGTTATCTTATTGAGGGGTTTACATTCCCATCAGAATTTAGTTTAAGAAATGGGTAAGAATGCTTGATTTTTGGAATGTGAAACAGAAATGTGCTATCTTCCATTCACTCAATGACAACAATGGAGAACTGAGGTTGTAGGATCTAGAAGGGCTCCCCAGTCACACGCAGCTGCTGGATAGTAACTACAGACCAGCTACACCCTGATGGGACAGGAGACAAGTTTCCCTTTAAATGAGCATAATGAGAAAGGGAGTGTCATGAATGTTTTAGATATGGACCCCAATCTTTAAGCCTATCATGCAAAACTGTGCTTGATTACCCATTTTACGGGTGGGCAAAGAGATGCCAATCCTGTGAGTGACTTAATAGGCTTTTAAAAAGTTGTCATGAACTATAAGGCAGTGAAATGTTATGTACTGGCTAAAAACCTCTCAAATGGATTACACCTCTATTTTATGAAGTGGGCCTGATGTCACAGTATAGAAGCTGAGGTACGGCTAAAGTTACAGTCACCAATTTAAGCTCTAACTCCCTAAGATGAAGGGGCCTTCTTCACTCACTGGCTCCAACACAGCTACCTGGCCTCACAGTTACAGGAGTAACCTCCCAGCCAGGTGATATGCTTCCTCAAAGAAAGAGAGATTATCTCCCTGCTTACTGGGTCTACATCATATCTATGTCCAAAATGAGCAAGAACTTTTCAGCAATTGTACTGGTAAATTGCTGGTTTACTAGGTCAAAAAGAAAATGAAATCACTTAGTGCCAAGTTTACACATGGGTAGGTAGAAGGACAAAAATCTCAAAACTCATTCTAAGATTTAGTACTAGCCAAGTGGATGAAATTTAAAATGTGAACAAACCAGACTCTCCTTAATTACAAAATAACCATCCCCTGATCTCGTTAAGCAAATGAAACAGGAAAACAGAATATTTACCACATGAGAAAGAAAAGCAACTTACTTTTCGATAAGGTCCAAGTTCTGCTGGAAACCAAGTATTTCCTGAACATTTTCAAACTCAAATATAAGGCCATATGAAGTGCTTATCCTCCAGTCCCCTGATCTTTCTGCATCACTCCTCAAAATGGTTCTCCAGCCTCTTGCTTTTTGTAATGTCATTGCCTGCTACTTAACACATTTATGTTCATGTCCAATTCTAATTCATAAAAGCACTCAATTAACTACATCTCTAAAAGCCAAACTAGGGCTGAATTGCAGGATTTGCTCAGTAACCCAGATAATGAATGAAACAAAAAGTGATTCAGGAAGACAGTGCTTTCCCAATGCTAAATAAATTCTAAAGCCACCATAACTTATGACTTCTGGTTTTGTCCCTACTCTATACTTCCTCCTTGCATCCAAGAGAGAAACAAAGTCAAAGAGAAAATAATACAACAGGATAGAGGCCCTTCTAAGGCACAACGCTGATTTCAAGGATGAAACATACAGCAGTCCACTGTAGGTGAGTGAGGGTTTGCCTTCTGCAGATAGAGTTACCGTAGTCCAAAAACTTGTATTTGTCTTGACTCTGGAGAGAACCAGTTGTATAACTATCATGATAGCATACTGTTATTGTTTTATTATTAGTTATTCTTATTACTCTTTCACTGTGCCTAATTTATAAATTAAACTTTATTACACATACATACCTGTAGGAAACACACAGTAAAGACAGAGCTTAATACTGTGCCTGCCTTCAGGCATCACTGGGGGCCTTGGGACATTTCCCCCAAGACGGGAGGACTGCCATATCAGCTTCCAAATCTAAACAGGCTCTAAGCCCAGAATTCCAGCAACACCTCTATGTGGATTGTCTGTATACACACTTCTGAATGCACATACCTCAAAAACATCATAAACAAGTTGTAAAGTGACTAATTCAATTTCCTGTAATTAATATATCCTCTTGGAAGGGGGCGGGAAGAAAACAACACCAACATCTATTTTCCATAGCACAGATGACAACTCCCTACAAGGGGCTAGGGACACCACTATTTAGCACTCATCAGTTCTGCTTTTGCACAGCAGAGAATGGGACTATTTTGCAGGTCACTCATATTTTAAATGTGCACTACTTTCTCTACAAACCAGTCTGTGGACTTTTGGTAAAGGGTAAACTTGATCCTTCTAGAATAAAAGTCATCAATATCTTTGGGCTGCTGAATTAAGGACAAAGGCACAGTCTCCAATGTCTCTGAGCTATTGAATCAAGGACAATGACAAACAAAGATTTATGTTTGTTATTGGCTTATGTGTTATACAGTGTTGCTAGGAACCACTTGGACACAGTTATCACAATTACCCTTAAGTCACTTAAGGCAGGTTTGAACAAGGTGAGGTGCTTTATGTTCATCTGAAATTAAACCAATAAAAATAAGGAATCTTAATTGAGGGTGATGTAAGAGCTTGGCATAAGACTGAATACAGAACAGATACACAGCAAAATACTTGTGGTATTAAAGTTCAAAACAACAAGTAATAGTACTATTAGTTTATGTTAAAGTATTTAAATGGCACTTACCAGTAGTACAAAACAAAAAACTTTTTCTTTTTCCTTAGCTTTACACATTTGTATATTCTTCCTTGAGGGTAAGGGTCTCTGGGAGCTTAGAATTTGAGGTATGACTAGGCATTTTATGAAACCCTAACTTATGAATTTCTACTCCCTAGAGGTAAAAACAGTACCTTAATTAGGAAATAATCTAGTTGTGTAGGCTCAAAGACATTATAGGCAGTTCCCGCTGGGGCCATTATACTTTGAGAAAGCTCCTTTGCCGGTTTGTATGTAAACAGAACTGAGGAACTTCCTCTCTCCAAAGTGTTTAACACAGCACACCTGACCTCTGGAGAGAATTAACCCATCATCAAACTCTCGATGGACAAGGAGCCACAGGGTGCCACATCCTCGTGGAGAGTGGGATAAGACTCCTGATGACAAGGGTCTGGCTGCAGGTGGTCAGGTCGAGGCAGCTGGACAGCGAAGGGCTCCACCTAACAGCCCAGGAGGAGTGGGGATGCAGGGCAGGGTTCGTCACCTTACTGCACTTGAAGGGTCAGGGCCAGCCCTTCATTCCATAGCTGGCTGCATTCCACCAGCCTATGCAACAGTTTTGATCACTTTACAGACCCCATTTTCTTCATATACTACATGCCAAACAAGGTCAGCCACCTTGAGGGTCAGGCTCTAGTGACAGCAGATGCAAACGGTGCCACGCACACTGCCTTGCCACCCTCCACACAGCACCACTCCCTTTGTCTTTCACCCTCAACAAAGCCCTGTGCTGAACAGGTGTTGGGAACACTGAGAAGTCAGGCAGATGTTGCTCCTGTTCTTAGGATTACATGCTAGCTGGAGAGTAGGCCAATTACATAAAATACATAAACTATCTGGGTGAGTGCTCCAAATGACCAAGCAGAGCTGGGCATATCTAACAGCAGGGTTGAGTCAGGCTAACAAGTCAGAGGCAGTGCATTTAAGTTTCAGCTGATGGAAAGGGTACTGGCCAGGGCAAGGGTCTACAGATACTTCAAGCATAAATGCAACCCACAGACTGTCTCATGCACCCGACTCCCCTGGGGGCTGCTGACTTTAGGGGTGCAGATAAACTGCCCCCCCACATCAGGCCACAACAGTCCCCCTCTAGATTATAAGTGCTAAAAAGTTCAGGACCAGAAGCCTGTTTCTTCACAGAAATATTAATGACCAGTGTTTCCGAGCACTCTCAGCCATCAAGTAAGATTGCACCATTTCCATATCCCCAAACTTGGAGCACCCAAAGGTGCTAGCCAAAGTGATACTGTTTAATTCTTAATCACCCATAATTATGTAGGGAAAACCTAAATGCCAAGACCTGAAGAGCAGCTGTGATTAAAATAGTGGAAAACTAAGAAATCTAATATAGATGTAATAAAATGTGATATGGCTCAGAATTTGATTTACGGTGAACCATCATGTTAGAT